ACATACATACACACACACACACACATATGCACATACATATATAATACATATTTTTTATATATACACAGTACCAGTCAAAAGTTTGGACACACTCATTCAAGGGTTTTTCTTTATTTTTACTATTTTCTACATTGTAGAATAATAGTGAAGACATCAAAACTATGAAATAACACATATGGAATCATGTAGTAACCAGAAAAGCGTTAAACAAATCAAAATATATTTTAGATTCTTCAAAGTAGCCACCCTTTGCCTTGATGACAGCTTTGCACACTCTTGGTATTACACACCCAACAGTGCAGTTTTAAGAAAATAGAGTTAAGAAAATATATATAAAAAAATAACAAAAAGTAATTTAAAAAAAAGTAACACAATAAAGTAACAATAATGAGGCTATATACAGGGGGTACTAGTACCAAGTCAATGTGCGGGGGTACAGGTTAGTCGAGGTATTTTGTACACGTAGGTAGGGGTGAAGTGACTTTGCATAGATAATTAACAGCGAGTAGCAGCAGTGTCAATGTGCGGGGGGGGGAGTATCAAAGCAAATAGTCCGGGTGGCCATTTGATTAATTGTTCAGCAGTCTTATGGCTTGGGGGTAGAAGCTGTTGAGAAGCCTTTTGGACCTAGACTTGGCACTCCGGTACCGCTTGCCGTGCGGTAGCAGAGAGAACAGTCTATGACTAGGGTGGCTGGAGTCTGACAATTTCTTGGGCCTTCCTCTGACACCGCCTGGTATAGAGGTCCTGGATGGCAGGAAGCTTGGCCCCGGTGATGTACTGGGCCGTACGCACTACCCTCTGTAGTGTTTCATTTTCAAATAATTGAAAGTGCGAGGTTGTAATCTGAATAAAGGGGAAAAAGGCCATTCTTGAACATTCTTGAACATTCTTACTAATCGGCTAGAGAACCAGTTCGGATTGAAGTATAACTATGGTGTGACTGAAGCCTTTAGTGAGAGGTCTAATGCGTTAATATTTAATCATTTCTGCCCTCTGAATTCATATTCATTATATAAATCGGCCCGTTTAATTTTGTCTGGCTTGCCGTTCCAAATAAAATTGAATATTTTTTGCTCATACATTTTTTTTAAACAAGTCGCTAGGTGTAGGCAAGACCATAAGCAAATATGTAAACTGGGATATGATTAAAGAGTTAATCAGGGTGATTTTTCCACCAATTGACAGGTATTTTCCTTTCCATGGTAGCAATATCTTATCTATTTTTGCTAACTTTCTCTACAAATGTATTGTAGTGAGATAATTTATTTATTTCGGGATATTTTTACCGAGTACACTACCGGTCAAAAGTTTGGACACACCTACTCATTCCAGGGTTTTTCTTTATTTGTACTATTTTCTACATTGTAGAATAATAGTGAAGACATCAAAACTATGAAATAACCAAAAAAAGTGTTAGACAAATCAAAATATATTTTATATTTGAGATTCTTCAAATAGCCACCCGTTTTCTTGATGACAGCTTTGCACACCCGTTTTCTTGATGACAGCTTTGCACACTCTTGGCATTCTGTCATCAAGGCAAAGGGTGGCTATTTGAAGAATCTCAAATATAAAATATATTTTGATTTGTTACTACATGATTCTACATGTGTTATTTCATAGTTTTGAAGTCTTCACTATTATTCTACAATGTAAAAATAAAGAAAAACCATTGAATGAGTAGGTGTGTCCAAACTTTTGACCGGTACTGTATATAAAATAAAAATCTTGCGTATATTCATTTCCACAACTAACAAATAATATGCTTAATAATGTAGGCAGTTCATGCAAACGATTGTTACCTATAACCAGGACTGACATTACAAAATTATTATTTTAGTAAACAATTGTGATTCATCCTATATTGTCCCTAACATCATTACCCCATAGCAACAGATGTGGGATACATACACACACACACACACACACACACACACACAGACACACACACACACACATATACTCATGCACACTTGACCCCTTTCCCCCACAAACAACCACAAGCTCAGATGTTAAACAGTTGTTCCATCCCCGAGCTCAACTCAAGAAAGGACTTGATGTGTGAATGCATATGCAGTCGTAGCTGTTTGAGAAGGCAATGCAAAAATTGAGCTAAAATTGGGAGATTTTATTAACCAAATGTCAAGCCCTAGCTGACGGAGATCAGATACAGCCCCTTCCCCGGAAACACACACAAAACGAAGAAACATTGTAGCCTACACCGTCTAAACTGTAAGTCGTTTCTAGAGATGTAAAGAAATATCTGATATAACAGGTGCTACTGTATTAAATTAATCAATATGTCACCCTATTCGTTCACTTAGTTTTGTAGCAACAAGAGAGAGACGAGCAGATTGCTGCTGCTGTATTTTGTGTGGTTTATGTATCCATCGCGGATGAGGAGGCTATGGGAAATTAACGTCTACCTTCCAGTAGAGGTTGCAGCAATAGCAGTTGAGAATGGAGCTAATTTCCGTATGCCTGGTCTAGCGTCAGTACTCAGCTCATGGTAATGCCTGGTCTAGCGTCAGTACTCAGCACCTGGTAATGCCTGGTCTAGCGTCAGTACTCAGCACCTGGTAATGCCTGGTCTAGCGTCAGTACTCAGCACCTGGTAATGCCTGGTCTAGCGTCAGTACTCAGCCGTAATTGCTGGTCTAGGTCAGTACTCGCCCTGGTAATGGCCTGGTCCCTAGCGTCAGTACTCAGCACCTGGTAATGCCTGGTCTAGCGTCAGTACTCAGCACCTGGTAATGCCTGGTCTAGCGTCAGTACTCAGCACCTGGTAATGCCTGGTCTAGCGTCAGTACTCAGCACCTGGTAATGCCTGGTCTAGCGTCAGTACTCAGCACCTGGTAATGCCTGGTCTAGCGTCAGTACTCAGCACCTGGTAATGCCTGGTCTAGCGTCAGTACTCAGCACCTGGTAATGCCTGGTCTAGCGTCAGTACTCAGCACCTGGTAATGCCTGGTCTGCGTCCAGTAACTCAGCACCTGGTTAATGCCTGGTCTAGCGTCAGTACTCAGCACATGGTAATGCCTGGTCTAGCGTCAGTACTCAGCACCTGGTAATGCCTGGTCTAGCGTCAGTACTCAGCACATGGTCAGCACTATGGTATTATGTTGCATTAAAATACCGTATTTAGCATAAATACTTTATTGTCATGAATGGGTGTTTGCCACTGTTGCCAAAGCAGTGTAGAGGAAGTAATACAAAAATGAACAATATGTTCAAGCAACTGTCAATGCAACAAAAAAAATAACTCCCAGCGTGGCCTTTCTCTTTCCATGTTATACACTATAATGCACTATAATGCACTATGTATTTAGCTGCTATGACAATCACAATATAGACTAGCTCTGGTCCAGGGCACCTTGACCCAGAGAGAGCCTACAGATAACGGATAACCTATCATAGTGGAATGGAATATGGAATTTTGTGCCATCGGAACTCATTGCATGGTAGAATGTTGGAACAGTACATTTTCCAGTCTGCCTCTGCTTACTGGAGCAGCCAGGGGTCTTTTCCAGTCTGCCTCTGCTTACTGGAGCAGCCAGGGGTCTTTTCCAGTCTGCCTCTGCTTACTGGAGCAGCCAGGGGTCTCCATCTTCAGTCCTGGAGCAGCCAGGGGTCTCCATCTTCAGTCCTGGAGGTGCATGTTTTTTGTTCCACCCTAGCACTAAAAACACACCTGGTTCAAATAATTAACTAGTTACGGTCCTAGATCTGAACCTTTGTTGTTTGAATCAGCTACGGATGATTTGGTCCCAATGGTGTAACTAACATAACATCTTCTATCTCTTTCCCTTTCTCATCTAGGAACCAGTTCTAGAGATACAGCGTTTCAATTTGGATCAGTAAACATGTGAGTAGCATACTCAAAAGAACATTTGAAGAGTTTATTTCCAAAACACTATGTCCACCAATTTTTCACATTTGTGTTTTTTCATCAGAAAAGATTGCTTATGGGTACCTTCATGTGTGTGTAAAATTTAACTGTTCTCAGATTTTTAATTTATAGATTATAGTTGTGTATAATTTTTATTATTTTTTTTATATGCAAAACGCTATATATCCATTGTTTAGCTGGAATGAAATGTGTGTATGCTTTTATATTTGACTGTGATATGTGGTTGTCCCACCTAGCTATCTTCAGATGAATGCACTAACTGTGTGTCGCTTTGGATAAAAGCGTCTGCTAAATGGCATTATTATAATTTATTATTTAAAATGTAAATGTTCTACATACTGATCTCATATTACTGTATTGTATTTCTGTATCATTTCTACAGTTCTTTATAGAAAATGTATTTATTTCTTACATTAGACTGTGTTAAACCTAGCAGTACTACTTATTTCTCTGAGAATGTGGAGGATATATAGCATTTAGCAGCAAAACATGATTATTTGTCTCTCTGAAATGAAACCATCAAGTGATAGATTCTAAACAAATACATGTCTGTCATTGAACAACCCCATGCCATGATTAGATAGTGAAAAAAACACACCAATCATAAGTTCTTTAAAACAATAAAAGCTCATTTACCAACATTTCAAAAAAATAAAAATAGATGTATAGCGTTTTGGAAAGAAACTCTTCATTTGCATACTTGAATACCAGTGTGCTATCCAAATACTGTACATGACTATTTTCAGCAGATTGCAAATTTCATAATGATGAAAGCATAGAGATGATTTGGAAATCAGTAAGTCTTTTAAATTAAGAAAAGAGTGAGCCGGGTCCCATAACCCTCTCTCTTCCAAAGGCAAGAGGGGACAGGAGGCAAGGGAGGAGGGCAGAGGGAAAACAAATTTGGGCAAACATCGGGTACACAAAGAGAAGAAACCGAGCCCAATGCGTTTTGGAGCATCCGCCTCTCCTGGGTGCCTTCTAAAACCCGTCTCTTCTCTCTCTCTCTCTCATCTCCTCTCTCTTCCCCCTCTCTCTTCCCTCCCTCCCTCCCTCCCCCCCTCCCCCCCCCCCTCCCCCCCCCTAGGATTGGACTGAAGTAAAAAACGTGTCTTCGCCCATGGCTGCGGGGTTGGTTAGTTGGCATCCCCTACTCCATCTCTCTCGTAGCCCAGTGGATGTACGGCTGGCCTAACAAGCCTGGCTATAAAAAGTACATTGAGGCGCTGAAGCCGAGGTAACATAACGTTTCCAGTTCTAATCTTATCTAGGCTGATATATTGTGTGCGTTTCCAAATGCCATAGAATTTTCTATGTAGTGCACTACTCTCCCAAATGGCACCCTGCCCTGGGGCGGTAGGTAGCTTAGTGGGTAAGAGCGTTGTGCCAGTAACCGAAAGGTCGCTGGTTCTAATCCCCGAGCCGACTAGGTGAAAAATCTGTCGATGTGCCCTTGAGCAAGGCACTTAACCCTAATTGCTCCTGTAAGTCGCTCTGGATAAGAGCGTCTGCTAAATGACTAAAATGTACTATTTCCTACAGGCCCTGTGTCAAAAGTAGTGCACTACAGTGGGGAAAAAAAGTATTTAGTCAGCCACCAATTGTGCAAGTTCTCCCACTTAAAAAGATGAGAGAGGCCTGTAATTTTCATAATAGGTACACGTCAACTATGACAGACAAAATGAGGGAAAAAAATCCAGAAAATCACATTGTAGGATTTTTAATGAATTTATTTGCAAATTATGGTGGAAAATAAGTATTTGGTCACCTACAAACAAGCAAGATTTCTGGCTCTCACAGACCTGTAACTTCTTCTTTAAGAGGCTCCTCTGTCCTCCACTCGTTACCTGTATTAATGGCACCTGTTTGAACTTGTTATCAGTATAAAAAAGACACCTGTCCACAACCTCAAACAGTCACACTCCAAACTCCACTATGGCCAAGACCAAAGAGCTGTCAAAGGACAACAGAAACAAAATTGTAGACCTGCACCAGGCTGGGAAGACTGAATCTGCAATAGGTAAGCAGCTTGGTTTAAAGAAATCAACTGTGGGAGCAATTATTAGGAAATGGAAGACATACAAGACCACTGATAATCTCCCTCGATCTGGGGCTCCACGCAAGATCTCACCCCGTGGGGTCAAAATGATCACAAGAACGGTGAGCAAAAATCCCAGAACCACACGGGGGGACCTAGTGAATGACCTGCAGAGAGCTGGGACCAAAGTAACAAAGCCTACCATCAGTAACACACTACGCCGCCCGGGACTCAAATCCTGCAGTGCCAGACGTATCCCCCTGCTTAAGCCAGTACATGTCCAGGCCCGTCTGAAGTTTGCTAGAGTGCATTTGGATGATCCAGAAGAGGATTGGGAGAATGTCATATGGTCAGATGAAACCAAAATATAACTTTTTGGTAAAAACTCAACTCGTCGTGTTTGGAGGACAAAGAATGCTGAGTTGCATCCAAAGAACACCATACCTACTGTGAAGCATGGGGGTGGAAACATCATGCTTTGGGGCTGTTTTTCTGCAAAGGGACCAGGACGACTGATCCGTGTAAAGGAAAGAATGAATGGGGCCATGTATCGTGAGATTTTGAGTGAAAACCTCCTTCCATCAGCAAGGGCATTGAAGATGAACCGTGGCTGGGTCTTTCACCATGACAATGATCCCAAACACACCGCCCGGGCAACGAAGGAGTGGCTTCTTAAGAAGCATTTCAAGGTCCTGGAGTGGCCTAGCCAGTCTCCAGATCTCAACCCCATAGAAAATCTTTGGAGGGAGTTGAAAGTCTGTGTTGCCCAGCGACCAGCCCCAAAACATCACTGCTCTAGAGGAGATCTGCATGGAGGAATGGGCCAAAATACCAGCAACAGTGTGTGAAAACCTTGTGAAGACTTACAGAAAACGTTTGACCTGTGTCATTGCCAACAAAGTGTGTATAACAAAGTATTGAGAAACTTTTGTTATTGACCAAATACTTATTTTCCACCATAATTTGCAAATAAATTCATTAAAAATCCTACAATGTGATTTCTGGATTTTTTTTCCTCATTTTGTCTGTCATAGTTGACGTGTACCTATGTTGAAAATTACAGGCCTCTCATCTTTTACGTGGGAGAACTTGCACAATTGGTGGCTGACTAAATACTTTTTTCCCCCACTGTATCTAGGGAATATGGTCTAAAGTAGAGTAGTGACTATATAGGGGATAGGGTGCCATTTCTCTAGGTCTAAAGTATGTGCACTATTAGGGAATAGGTGCCTTATGTGGTCTAGGGTGCACTCTATAGGAATGAGGTGTTGCCATTTCTCTGGGTCTAAAGTAGTGCACTATAAGGGAATAGGGGGGTGCCATTCTCTGGGCTAGAGTAGTGCACTATATAGGGAAAAATAGGGTGCCATTATCTGGTCTAAAGTAGTGCACTATATAGGGACTGGGTGCCATTCTATGGTCTAAAGTAGTGCCAACTATAAGGGAATAGGTGACCTCTCTCGAGCTATAAAGTAGTGCACATTATAGAGGGAATAGGGAGCATTTCTATGGTCTTTAAGATGCACTATTATGGAATAGGGGCCATTCTCTGGTCTGAAAGTAGTGCATATATAGGGAATAGGGTGCCGTCTCTGGCCTAAAGTAGTGCACTATATAGGGAATAGGGTGCCAATTCTCTGGTCTAAAGTCGTGCACTATATAGGGAATAGGTTGCCATTTCTCTTGGTCTAAAGTCTAGTGCACTATAGAGGAATAGCGTTGCATTCTCGGTCTATGTAGTGCCATATTATAGGGAATAGGTTTGCCATTCTCTGGTCTAAAAAGTAGTGCACTATATAGGGAATAGGGTGCCATCTATGCGTCTTCATAAAGTAGTGACACTATATAGGGAATAGGGTAGCCATTCTCTGTTATAAAGTAGTGCACTATTATAGGGAACTTCGGGTGCCATCTATGGTCTAAAGAGTGACTATATAGGGATAGGGGGGCCATTCTCTGGTCTAAAGTAGTGGCATATTATAGGGAACGGGTGCCATTCTCTGGTATAAAGTAGTGCACTATATAGGGAATAGGGGGTTGCATTCCTCTGGTTCTAAATATTGCCACTATATAGGGAATAGGGGTGCCATTCTGGGTCTATATATGCCACTATATAGGGAATAGGTGCCATTATCTGCGTCAAAGTAGTGCACATATAGGGAAAGGGTGCCATTCTCTGGTCTAAAGAGTGCACTATATAGGAATGGGTGCCATCTCTGGTCTATAGTAGTCACTATTATAGGGAATAGGGTGCCATTCTCTGGTCTAAAGTAGTGCACTATATAGGGAATAGGGTGGTGCCATTTCTGGATCTAAAGAGTGAACTATATAGGGACTAGGGTGCCATTCTCGGGTCTAAAGTCGGGCACTATATCGGGAATAGGGTGCCATTCTCGGTCTAAAAGTACGTGCAACTATATAGGGAATCGGGTTTGCCATTCTCTGGTCTAAGGTAGTGCCACTGAGCTAGGGAAGAGGGTGCCATTCTTGCGTCTTCTAAAGTAGTATTGAACTATATAGGGAAATAGGGTTTTGCCATTCTTGGTCTAAAGTAGTGGCAACTATATAGGGACTAGGGTGCCATTTCTATGGTCTATAGTGTGCAACTTATAGGAATAGGGTTGCCATTTCTGGTCTAAAGTAGTGCACTATATAGAGGAAGGGTGCCATTCTCTGGTCTAACGTAGTGCAAGATATAGGAAATAGGGTGCCATTTCTATGGTTAAAGTAGTGCACTAATAGGGACAATAGGGTGCCATTCTCTGGTCGAAAGTAGCTGCACTATATAGGAATAGTGCCATTCTTTGGTATTAAAGTAGTTGCAATAGATAGGCGGAATGGGTGCCATTCTTCTGTCTAAAGTAGTGCAATATTATATAGGGAATAGGGTGCCATTCTCTGGTCTATAGTAGTGCACTATATAGGGAAATGGGTGCCATTCTTGGTATAAGTAGTGCACTATAAGGGAATGGGTGCCCATTTCTGGTCTAAAAGTAGTGCATATATAGGAAATAGGGTGCCATGTCTTGGTCTAAGTAGTGCACTATATAGGGGAATAGGGTGCCTTCTTGGTCTAAAGTAGGCACATATAGGGAATAGGGTGCATTTCTCTGACTAAAGGGTAGGGCACGATATAGGGAATAGGGTTGCCATTCTCTGGTCTAAAGTAGTGGCACTATATAGGGAATAGGGTGCCATTCTCTGGTCTAAAGTAGTGCACTATATAGGGATAGGGTGCCATTCTCTGGTCTAAAGTAGTGCACTATATAGGGAATAGGGTGCCCATTCTCTGGTTCAAAGTATTGCACTATATAGGGAATAGGGTGCCATTCTCTGGTCTAAAGTAGTGCACTATATAGGGAATAGGGTTGCCATTCTCTGGTTATAGTAGTGCACTATATAGGGAATAGGGTGCCATTCTCTGGTCTAAAGTAGTGCACTATATAGGGAATAGGGTGCCATTCTCTGGTCTAAAGTAGTGCACTATATAGGGAATAGGGTGCCATTCTCTGGTCTAAAGTAGTGCACTATATAGGGAATAGGGTGCCATTCTCTGGTCTAAAGTAGTGCACTATATAGGGAATAGGGTGCCTTCTCTGGTCTAAAGTAGTGAACTATTAGGGAATAGGGTGCCATCTCTCTGGTCTAAAGTAGTGCACTATATAGGGAATAGGGTGCCATTCTCTGGTCTAAAGTAGTGCACTATATAGGGAATAGGGTGCCATTCTCTGGTCTAAAGTAGTGCACTATATAGGGAATAGGGTGACATTTGGGACGCAGCCATTGTTATGAGGTTCTGATATGTATAGTCTCCCAAGCCATGAGTCTGGGAAGCGGGACTAATATTTATTTCAAGGTTCTGAGATGTACTCTTCTCACAAAACATTGTGTGTGTGTGTGTTTGGGTGTGTGTGTGTGTGTGTGTGGGTGTATGTTTGTGTGTGTGTGTGTGTGTGTGTGTGGTGTGTGGTGTGTGTGTGGTGTGTGTTGTGTGTGTGTGTGTGGGTGTGTGTGTGTGTGTGTGTGTGTGTGTGGGTGTGTGTATGTTTTGGGGTTGTGTGTGTGTGTGTGTGTGTGGGTGTGTGTGTGTGTGTGTGTGTGTGTGTCCTCTCCCCAGGCGGATATACTGTCTGACTAAAGCTGTGCTGGAGATGCTGAAGTACTTCCAGTACGGCAAACTCTACTTCCAGTGGAAGTCCTGGTACAAGAATGTAGAAAACCACAAGCATTATGAAAAGGTAACGTAGAAAACCACAAGCATTATGAAAAGGTAACGTAGAAAACCACAAGCATTATGAAAAGGTAACGTAGAAAACCACAAGTATTATGAAAAGGTAACGTAGACAAAACCACACATATGAAAAGGTAATGTAGAAAAACCACCAGCATTATTGAAAAGAACGTAGAAAACCACAGATTATGAAAAGGGACACCGTAGAAAAACCACAAGTATATGAAAAGGTTAAGTAGATAAGAGAAAAGAAGAAACACCAGCTTATGAAAAGGGTTAACGTAGAAAGAAAGAAAACACAGCATTATGGAAAAAGGTAACGTAGCGAAGAAGAAGAATACCACTAATTATTATGGAAAAAGGTAATGTAGAAAACCACCAAAGCATTAGGGAAAAGGTAACCGTAGAAATAAAAACCAAGCTTTATGAAAAGGAATGTAGAACACCACAGCATTATGGAAAAGGTAATGTAGAAAAATCACCAGCATATGAAAAGTAACGTAGAGAAAACCACAGCATTATGAAAAGGTAACGTAGAAAACCACCAGCATTATGAAAACGTAACGTAGAAAACCACCAGCATTATGAAAACGTAATGTAGAAAACCACCAGCATTATGAAAAGGTAACGTTAGAAAATCAGGTAAGTTTGTCGACTAATGTTTTAGTCACAATCTTTGTTCTGAGGTTTTCCAAAAATATTTTCTCTAGGAATAGTGGTAGAGAATGATTATAGTAATTTCTTTTCAGATTATGCAGATTTAGCATAGCTGACTGTGGTGACACTAAGAGATGACTGTGGTGATACTAAGAGATGACTGTGGTGACACTAAGAGATGACTGTGGTGATAATAAGAGATGACTGTGGTGATAATAAGAGCTGCTGTGTGATAATAAGAGCTGACTGTGTGACACTAAGAGCTGACTGTGGTGATAAATACGAGCTGACTGTGGTGAAATAAGAGCTGAACTGTGGTGATAAGAAGAGTGACTGTGCGTGATAATAAAGAGTGACTGTGGTGTTGATAATAAGAGCGACTGTGGTGTGACACTAAGAGATGACTGTGGTGATAATAAAGAGCTGGACTGTGGTACACTAAGAGCCTGATGTGGTGACACTAAGAAGATGACTGTGGTGATAATAAGAGATGACTGTGGTGATAATAAGAGCTGACTGTGGTGACACTAAGAGCTGACTGTGGTGATAATAAGAGCTGACTGTGGTGATAATAAGAGCTGACTGTGGTGACACTAAGAGCTGACTGTGGTGATAATAAGAGCTGACTGTGGTGACACTAAGAGCTGACTGTGGTGATAATAAGAGCTGACTGTGGTGATAATAAGAGCTGACTGTGGTGATAATAAGAGCTGACTGTGGTGATTATTGTTTGGAATATTTTCTGAAACCATGATGTACCTCATCATAACTGAAAGCGTGATGTACCTCATCATAACTGAAAGCGCGATGTACGTCATCATAACTGAAAGCACGATGTACCTCATCATATCTGAAAGCACGATGTACCTCATCATAACTGAAAGCACGATGTACCTCATCATAACTGAAAGCACGATGTACCTCATCATAACTGAAAGCACGATGTACCTCATCATAACTGAAAGCGCGATGTACCTCATCATAACTGAAAGCGCGATGTACGTCATCATAACTGAAAGCACGATGTACCTCATCATAACTGAAAGCACGATGTACCTCATCATAACTGAAAGCACGATGTACCTCATCATAACTGAAAGCGCGATGTACCTCATCATAACTGAAAGCATGATGCACCTCATCATAACTGAAACCATGATGTACCTCATCATAACTGAAACCATTATGTACCTCATCATAACTGAAAGCATTATGTACCTCATCATAACTGAAACCATGATGTACCATAACTCAGTGTTAAAGCTCACTGCTTATTTTCTTCTTCTCCCTCCTCCTCCTCTCGTCTTTTCTAAAGGGCATCACGTTTGGTCGTCGTAGCAACCAGCTGGACTTGTACTATTCTCCCACGGTGGGCCAGCCAGGCAGCGGGCGGGTACCTGTGGTGGTGTTTATATACGGCGGGGCCTGGGGGTCAGGGGAGAGAGCCATGTACTGCCTGTTGGCCATGCAGACGGCCAAGGAGCTCAGCGCAACCGTGATCTGCCCCGATTATTGCACCTATCCAAAGGTAAGACTCCTCCGCTACCATAAATAAATAAAGCTCAAAACTAAAAATTCCAAAAGGACACAGTCACTGTCGTGTTCAGCGAGCTAGCGTACGCATTGAATTTGACTTTAAAATTGTTGCCTTCCGTCTTCTTTCCAGGGTAATGTTTTGTGTATGGTTCAAGATATCGCCGACTGTCTCGTTTGGGCGAGGGAGAACAGCCACAAGTTCAACTTTGACAAAGTAAGTGATGCATTCAAGTTTTACAGTTACAGTATAAACATTGTCTGATATCATAGAGGCCAATTCTAACTTCTTGACTCAACATTTTCACTAATATATGCATTGATGTCAATGGGATATTACGTTGTTATTAGCCCCTTACTGAAGATTGTTCATGTTCATAAATGCAATGTTTATATTATAAATGCCTGTTGTCTTTTCAGAGGACAATATAGTGTTAAAATACCCCTTTTATAAGCGGTTTAGAGGTCATAAACACTAAACTGTAAGTTCATATATCGTTTTTGAAGGTGTACTAAGCAGTTATAAACACATTGGTTGATATTCACTTCACTGTGTCTGTCTGCGCAGGATAACATTGTGTTGATCGGCCACTCTGCCGGCGCTCACCTAGCTGCTTTAACCGTACTGTTCATGGTCGAGGGACGACACGAGCTCTTTATAGAAGCCAACAAGCAGGCAGAGATCACCATGGCGATCAGAGGAGTGACAGGTCAATGCATGGCTTATAGATTTTTAGAACATATCTTAGATGTTTATAACATGAAATATGTCTATAACATGTTTATATATATTTATAAACATACAATAGAATCACTCAACTGACTTTTAAGGGGATGTATAAAGTTTGTTGTATTATATATATATATATATATATATATATATATATATATATATATATATATATATATATATACAGTACCAGTCAAAAGTTTGGACACGCCTACTCATTCAAGGGTTTTTCTTTATTTTTACTATTTTATACATTGTAGAATAATAGTGAAGACATCAAAACTATGAAATAACACATATGGAATCATGCAGCATACATGATTCCATATGTGTTATTTCATAGTTTTACATTTTGCATTTTACATTTTAGTCATTTTAGCAGACGCTCTTATCCAGAGCGACTTACAGTTAAGTGAGTGCATACATATATATATTTTTTCATACTGGCCCACCCGTGGGAAACGAACCCACAACCCTGGCGTTGCAAGCGCCATGCTCTACCAACTGAGCTACAATGTAGAAAATAGTAAAAATAAAGAAAAACTCTTGAATGAGTAGGTGTGTCCAAACTTTTGACTGGTACTGTATATATATATATATATATATATATATATATATATATATATATATATATATATATATATATATTGGATATAAATGAAGACAAATGAAAGTTCCATGGTGTTTTGTACAGGTCTGAGTGGAGTGTACAACGTAATGGACCACTACGAGCACGAACAGATGAGAGGTGTGGAGTACGTTTCTACGATGCACAAAGCCATGAACGGAGTGGACAGCTTCCCTTACTATTCGCCCACACACCTACTGAAGACATTCAGCGAGGAACAACTCAAAAGGTACGCCGGTACTGCAGCGCTAATACTGAAACTGCTGGTAAAGTTGACACGATCTCGTCTGGGTTCTGATGGGACTTTGATGTGTTTAAATACACGGGGGGAAGAACAAATAGGGGAACGGCAAGAGGAAATATGACTTATTACATATTTTCTAGCATTTAGGCTACATTTATTAATTTTTTTAAAAATTATTTTAGTTCTTCCCCCTGTGTGCTCCATTCTGCAGAGTGGCCTTATATACCCATTACATCATTGGGAGTATACGCTGAGTGTACATAACATTAAGAACACCTTCCTAATACTGAATTGCCTGTCGAAAGTGTTCCACAGGGATGCTGGCCCCATGTTGACTCCAATGCTTCCCACAGTTGTGTCAAGTTGGCTGGATGTCCTTTGGGTGGTGGACCATTCTTGATACACACGGGAAAATGTTGAGCGTGAAAAACCCAGCAGCGTTGCAGTTGTTGACACAAACCGGTGCACCTGGCACCTACTATACCTTTGCCCATTCACCCTCTGAATGGCACACGTACACAATCCATGTCTCAATTGTCTCGAGGCTTAAAAATCTTTCCTTAACCTGTCTCCTCCCCTTCATCTACACTGATTAGAAGTGGATTTAACAAGTGACATCAATAAGGGATCATAGCTTTCACCTGGATTCACCTGGTCAGTCTATGTCATGGAAAGAGCAGTTACTAATGTTTTGTACACTCAGTGTCCCATCGCAACTTTCTTTATTTCTTTCCATTCTACAGAGTGCCGCCTTTCTGCTTGCTGCACGGAACCAACGACATCATAGTTCCGGTGGCATCTTCCCAGAGGTTCTCTGAGCTGCTCACCTCCCTGTCAATCAAGGTGTCCCTGTACCTCATGCCTAAAATGGACCACACAGAGATAGTCACCGATCTCATGGCGGCAGACAGACACTTCTACAACACAGTGTACAGCTGCATCAAACAGGAGTACAGCAAGTTCATAGGCCAGTTCTGTGACTGCTGAATGTCTTCTAGATTTCTACACAACGAGGAAACTAACTAACTAACACAATACATTATTCATTCATTCATTCATTCATTCATTCTTTAATTCATTCATTCATTCATGATGTGCCGCAATTCTTCTTGTTTACATATTTCTCAGTGCATTATTAGTATGATACCGCAAACTTACAGGATTTAGGCTTTTCGACTTAAAAACATTGTTTTAGCTCTCAGTTTTAATTTCAATAATGATTCCTCTTCTTCCTCTGGTGTTTTACTGTGTGATTTATGACAGTTCTGTGATTGTAAACAGACTGAATGATATTTATGATAGTTCCATGATCGTAAACAGACTGAATGATATTTATGATAGTCCCATGATCGTAAACAGACTGAATGATATTTATGATAGTCCCATGATCGTAAACAGACTGAATGATATTTATGATAGTTCCATGATCGTAAACAGAGTGAATGATATTTATGATAGTCCCATGATCGTAAACAGAGTGAATGATATTTATGATAGTTCCATGATCGTAAACAGACTGAATGATATTTATGATAGTCCCATGATCGTAAACAGACTGAATGATATTTATGATAGTTCCATGATCGTAAACAGAGTGAATGATATTTATGATAGTCCCATGATCGTAAACAGAGTGAATGATATTTATGATAGTTCCATGATCGTAAACAGAGTGAATGATATTTATGATAGTTCCATGATCGTAAACAGAGTGAATGATATTTATGATAGTTCCATGATCGTAAACAGAGTGAATGATATTTATGATAGTCCCATGATCGTAAACAGACTGAATTATATTTATGATAGTTCCATGATCGTAAACAGAGTGATATTTATGATAGTTCCCTATATAGTGCACTACTTTGGACCAGAGAGTGGCACCCTATTCCCTATATAGTGCACTACTTTAGACCAGAGAATGGCACCCTATTCCCTATGTAGTTCACTACTTTTGACCAAAACCCTATGGGCCCTGGTCTCTTCTCACACCTTCTGTATACGGGCCCCTGGTCAAAAGTAGTGCACTATATAGGGAATAGGGTGCCATTCTCTGGTCTAAAGTAGTGCACTACATAGGGAATAGGGTGCCATTCTCTGGTCTAAAGTAGTGCACTATATAGGGAATAGGGTGCCATTCTCTGGTCTAAAGTAGTGCACTATATAGGGAATAGGGTGCCATTCTCTGGTCAAAAGTAGTGCACTATGTAGGGAATAGGGTGCCATTCTCTGGTCAAAAGTAGTGCACTATATAGGGAATAGGGTGCCATTCTCTGGTCAAAAGTAGTGCACTATGTAGGGAATAGGGTGCCATTCTCTGGTCAAAAGTAGTGCACTATATAGGGAATAGGGTGCCATTCTCTGGTCAAAAGTAGTGCACTATGTAGGGAATAGGGTGCCATTCTCTGGTCAAAAGTAGTGCACTATATAGGGAATAGGGTGCCATTCTCTGGTCAAAAGTAGTGCACTATGTAGGGAATAGGGTGCCATTCTCTGGTCAAAAGTAGTGCACTATATAGGGAATAGGGTGCCATTCTCTGGTCAAAAGTAGTGCACTATGTAGGGAATAGGGTGCCATTCTCTGGTCAAAAGTAGTGCACTATATAGGGAATAGGGTGCCATTCTCTGGTCTAAAGTAGTGCACTATGTAGGGAATAGGGTGCCATTCTCTGGTCAAAAGTAGTGCACTATATAGGGAATAGGGTGCCATTTTCTGGTCTAAAGTAGTGCACTATATAGGGAATAGGGTGCCATTCTCTGGTCTAAAGTAGTGCACTGTATAGGGAATAGGGTGCCATTCTCTGGTCAAAAGTGGTTCACTGTATAGGGAATAGGGTGCCATTCTCTGGTCTAAAGTAGTGCACTACATAGGGAATAGGGTGCCATTCTCTGGTCTAAAATAGTGCACTATATAGGGAATAGGGTGCCATTCTCTGGTCTAAAGTAGTGCACTATATAGGGAATAGGGTGCCATTCTCTGGTCTAAAGTAGTGCACTATATAGGGAATAGGGTGCCATTCTCTGGTCTAAAGTAGTGCACTATATAGGGAATAGGGTGCCATTCTCTGGTCTAAAGTAGTGCACTATATAGGGAATAGGGTGCCATTCTCTGGTCTAAAGTAGTGCACTATATAGGGAATAGGGTGCCATTCTCTGGTCTAAAGTAGTGCACTATATAGGGAATAGGGTGCCATTCTCTGGTCTAAAGTAGTGCACTATATAGGGAATAGGGTGCCATTCTCTGGTCTAAAGTAGTGCACTATATAGGGAATAGGGTGCCATTCTCTGGTCTAAAGTAGTGCACTATATAGGGAATAGGGTGCCATTCTCTGGTCTAAAGTAGTGCACTATATAGGGAATAGTGTGCCATTCTCTGGTCTAAAGTAGTGCACTATATAGGGAATAGGGTGCCATTCTCTGGTCTAAAGTAGTGCACTATATAGGGAATAGGGTGCCATTCTCTGGTCTAAAGTAGTGCACTATATAGGGAATATAGGGTGCCATTCTCTGGTCTAAAGTAGTGCACTATATAGGGAATAGGGTGCCATTCTCTGGTCTAAAGTAGTGCACTATATAGGGAATAGGGTGCCATTCTCTGGTCTAAAGTAGTGCACTACATAGGGAATAGGGTGCCATTCTCTGGTCTAAAGTAGTGCACTATATAGGGAATAGGGTGCCATTCTCTGGTCTAAAGTAGTGCACTATATAGGGAATAGGGTGCCATTCTCTGGTCTAAAGTAGTGCACTACATAGGGAATAGGGTGCCATTCTCTAGTCTAAAGTAGTGCACTACATAGGGAATAGTGTGCCATTCTCTGGTCTAAAGTAGTGCACTATATAGGGAATAGTGTGCCATTCTCTGGTCTAAAGTAGTGCACTATATAGGGAATAGTGTGCCATTCTCTGGTCTAAAGTAGTGCACTATATAGGGAATAGTGTGCCATTCTCTGGTCTAAAGTAGTGCACTATATAGGGAATAGTGTGCCATTCTCTGGTCTAAAGTAGTGCACTATATAGGGAATAGTGTGCCATTCTCTGGTCTAAAGTAGTGCACTATATAGGGAATAGGGTGCCATTCTCTGGTCTAAAGTAGTGCACTACATAGGGAATAGGGTACCATTCTCTGGTCTAAAGTAGTGCACTATATAGGGAATAGGGTGCCATTCTCTGGTCTAAAGTAGTGCACTATATAGGGAATAGGGTGCCATTCTCTGGTCTAAAGTAGTGCACTATATAGGGAATAGGGGGCCATTCTCTGGTCTAAAGTAGTGCACTATATAGGGAATAGGGTGCCATTCTCTAGTCTAAAGTAGTGCACTATATAGGGAATAGGGTGCCATTCTCTGGTCTAAAGTAGTGCACTATATAGGGAATAGGGGGCCATTCTCTGGTCTAAAGTAGTGCACTATATAGGGAATAGGGTGCCATTCTCTGGTCTAAAGTAGTGCACTATATAGGGAATAGGGTGCCATTCTCTAGTCTAAAGTAGTGCACTACATAGGGAATAGGGTGCCATTCTCTGGTCTAAAGTAGTGCACTATATAGGGAATAGGGTGCCATTCTCTAGTCTAAAGTAGTGCACTATATAGGGAATAGGGTGCCATTCTCTGGTCTAAAGTAGTGCACTATATAGGGAATAGGGTGCCATTCTCTAGTCTAAAGTAGTGCACTACATAGGGAATAGGGTGCCATTCTCTGGTCTAAAGTAGTGCACTATATAGGGAATAGGGTGCCATTCTCTGGTCTAAAGTAGTGCACTATATAGGGAATAGGGTGCCATTCTCTGGTCTAAAGTAGTGCACTACATAGGGAATAGGGTGCCATTTGGCAGGTTTTCTCTTCTAGTCATAGTTCAAGCCTTTAATCTTAGAGCAATATAGATCGATTGTCAAACATCTCATAACATTGATTTAAAGAATAATTCACATCCAGTAAGACTGTCAGATGCATGATATACATTTAAGTATGTTATATCTTCTATGATAAGCTTCTGATCAAGGTTATATGTGTTGTAGGATTGTTGTAGCTCGGACATAGTGGTAATACGTCTACATTTTAAAAAACGTAGTATTTAATATTGAAGTTGGATCCGTGATCTGGTAGACACAGAGACTGGGCTCACAACAGACAACAGACCCATACGTAAAAAATGTATGCACACATGACTGTAAGTCGCTTTGGATAAAAGCGTCTGCTAAATGGCATATTATTATTATTTATAGTTCCATGATCGTAAACAGACTGAATGATATTTATGATAGTTCCATGATCGTAAACAGACTGAATGATATTTATGATAGTTCCATGATCGTAAACAGAGTGATATTTATGATAGTTCCATGATCGTAAACAGAGTGATATTTATGATAGTTCCATGATCGTAAACAGACTGAATGATATTTATGATAGTTCCATGATCGTAAACAGACTGAATGATATTTATGATAGTTCCATGATCGTAAACAGACTGAATTATATTTATGATATTCCCATGATCGTAAACAGACTGAATGATATTTATGATAGTTCCATGATCGTAAACAGAGTGAATGATATTTATGATAGTTCCATGATCGTAAACAGAGTGATATTTATGATAGTCCCATGATCGTAAACAGACTGAATGATATTTATGATAGTTCCATGATCGTAAACAGAGTGATATTTATGATAGTCCCATGATCGTAAACAGACTGAATGATATTTATGATAGTTCCATGATCGTAAACAGAGTGATATTTATGATAGTCCCATGATCGTAAACAGACTGAATGATATTTATGATAGTTCCATGATCGTAAACAGACTGAATGATATTTATGATAGTTCCATGATCGTAAACAGACTGAATGATATTTATGATAGTTCCATGATCGTAAACAGACTGAATTATATTTATGATATTCCCATGATCGTAAACAGACTGAATGATATTTATGATAGTTCCATGATCGTAAACAGAGTGATATTTATGATAGTTCCATGAT